CAGCCAATAGCGGAGAAGCTAGGCCTGGACACCATGAGCAACAGCTCCCTGTGGAAGGACCGCGCTCTGGTGGAGATCAACGTGGCCGTGCTGCACAGCTTCCAGGTGGGTACAAGGTCAAACATGTGGGTGGTGGGCTTGTAACGGTCTTCTAGAAGCTTTCAGGTGGGGTCAAGGTCAAACCTTGGGGTGATGGGCTTGTAACGGTCTTCTAGAAGCTCAAAAAAAGAAAACTTGAAAAATCCTACTAGAAGCTTCCAGGTAGGGTCATGGTCAAACATGGCTGTACTGGGATTGTAACGATCTTTCTAGAAACTTTCTGTTACTACAACAACCCCCCCAAAAAAAAAAGATAATAACAAAGCAACATACAAAGTCATTTTAGAAGCTTTTAGTGGGATCAAGGACAAACATGGCGGGGTTGGGATGGTAAAGTCTTTCTAGAAACTTAAAAAAATCTCCACATAACTGCATCTCCACATACGTTTAAGCATAACGATACAAAGTCGTTCAGAACAGTTCAATTACAAAAAAACAAAAAAACAAAAAACAATCAAAGTTGACTAGAAACTTTCAAATAAAACAGGAATCATGCAAAGTAATTCTAGAAACTTTCAGTTACAACGTAGAAAACATGCCAAATTCTTCTAGAAACGTTCAAATGCAACCAGAAAACATTCGTAGTCCTGCTAGAAACGTTGACTTACAACGACAAATCTTGCAAAGTCCTGCTAGAATCATTCAATAATTACTACAAGGATAATCATGCAAAGTCTTTATAGATATTTGAAAATATAGCAACAACCGTGAAGAATCCTTGTAGACACTTTCCAATACATCATCAATTGCCAGATCAGTGAATGATATCGGCGATCATGGTTCGCGCTTCATTCATTTTGCTTGAATGCTCTCAAAAAGCTGTATTAATGATCCTGACCTTGCCCAATCATCCCTCTGTTTCGACTCTCTACGTAAGTTGCTCTGTGTCTGCCCCTGCCTCGCTCGCTTCACACTTACAATGTAGCCTCCTGATTGTTCTAAACTGTGTCTATTTGTTCGTAAAACATGAGATATGTGTGAGGCGTGCTGACAAAATGGTTACTTTTCTCGCAATCCAGGAAGCTGGCTGCTTCTACTCTGCTCCCACGGTCACACTGGGCTGAGTTGAGTATATAATTCAAGCTTAAAAACAGAGATACTCAATCAAACAGATTTTTCCAAACGGGAATTAAACCTACGTCTTTTGTTTGTAACGCTAAGACAGAGACACTCGAAGAAATAGAGTAAAGGAACTCTATACCAAATTGCGTTCAGATGAGCTGAAAAAAAATTCAGAGAATGACTAAAAATCCGTTAAACAAGGAATACGAAATGTCAATAGGAGATATCGGCCGAAAATCAAACCTGGGGTCAGATGTATAGATTTTCAGTCGATACCATTTCGTTCAAGTCTACCGTGTCTTTTATTATTCGACACTTACAAACTGTACAAACTCCACCTATAAAGTTGATGTATCAATTTCCATACGCAAAAATCTGAAAGAAGTAACTCTTTTTGTCAGGACACCTGACATTTCCCATCTGCCCCTCCCCCCTCCCACCTCACATTTCCCATCTGC